CTGCTGCTGCTGCTGTTGCTGCTGCTGCTGCTGTTGCTGCTGCTGCTGCTGCTGCTGCTGCTGCTGGTGGTATAATACAGTTACGTGATCTAAATGATCATCATACACTAGAAGGTGTAGAGATAAAACATATTGGTAAAAAGATTGGCTATAAAGGGATGGATAATGGATATTTACGTCTTATTAATAAAAAAGTACCTAGTAATTATTTATTAATGCCTAATTATATATATAATAAATATTATAATAATAAATTGTATATACACCCTAATAATAATAATAATAATAATAATAATAATAAAAATAATTTAGGTGTATATACACCCCAATTATATTATTATAAATTACTTTATACAACTCTTACTTATACAAGAAAACAAATCATTCTTGCTGCAGGGACACATCTATCTAAATGTGTTGTTATTGCTATTAGGTAACTTATTTGCTGCTGCTGCTGCTGCTGCTGCTGCTGCTGCTGCTGTTGCTGTTGCTGCTGTTTGTTTGTTTGTTTTTTTGTTTGTTTGCTTGTTTGTTTGTTTGTTTGTTTGTTGCTGTTGTTGCTGTTACTAAAATAATAATAAGAAAAACAACAACAACAACTCCTGCTGCTGCTGTTGTTGCTGCTGTTGCTGCTGCTGCTGCTGCTGCTGCTGCTGCTATATGTGCTGCAGATACACCGCAGTTCGTCGTCAATTTGCTCCTATAGATAACCCTAAAGGAGAAGAACAACAAATAATATCTTATAGTACAACACAAAGAAATTTAATGCCCTTATTAGCTATGTCTATTGCATTTATACAAGCAGGAAGATGGACAGATACACTCTACCAAAAATTCAAAGTATATACACCCTAAACCCTAAACCCTAAACCCTAAACCCTAAACCCTAAACCCTAAACCCTAAACCCTAGAAACCCTAGAAACCCTAGAAACCCTAAACCCTATATTTTAAACTATAATGTTAATATTGTATCATAAACCCTAACTAATAAAATATCAAACTTTTTAAGTTGAAACTCTAAACCCTAAACCCTAAACCCTAGAAACCCTAGAAACCCTAGAAACCCTAGAAACCCTAGAAACCCTAAACCCTAAACCCTAATTTTTTTTTTTTTTTTTTATTGTGTATTATTATATACAGGAAGAATCAGCAGTTGGTGATTATAAATTACTAGAAGAATTACATTTAGTAACTGCATCCCTTAAGGCATATATGACGTTTGCTGCTGCTGCAGCAATGGAGACATGTAGGAGACAATGCGGTGGTCATGGATATCTACAAGCAGCAGGTGTCTCCTTACATCTTGTTAACTTCCTTCCTCAAGTTACTTATGAGGTATGCATGTATGCATGCATGCATGCATGCAGCAGCAGCAGCAGCAGCAGCAACAGCAGCAACAGCAGCAGCAGTAGTAGTAGTAGTAGTAGTATTAGTAGTATATGCGTAATAATTATACTAAAACAAACAGAAAAACAGCAGCAGCAACAGCAGCAACAGCAGCAGCAACAGCAGCAGCAACACTAAATAACTAACTAAATAAATAAATAAATTAAATAAATAAATAAATAAATAAATAAATAATGTATTTATTTATTTATTAATGTATACAGGGAGACTTTACAATATTATCATTACAAGCAGGACGTGTTATATTAAAAATAATAAAAAATAAATTAGCTGCCTATACACCTGAATATATAAATAATTCTTCTTTTTTTTATTTATATAAATATAATCATAATAAACAATCTATTCCTTTTATACCTAATCAACAACAACTACATGATCCTCAATGGTTTGTTGATATCTTTGAGGAAAGGTATAATCCTGCTGCTGCTGCTGCTGCTGCTGCTGCTGTTGCTGCTGCTGTTGCTGCTGTTGCTGCTGGTGGTGGTGGTGAATGGTGGTGGTGGTGTTCTGGTTGTTCGTTGTGGTGTTGGTGTTGCCTGTTGCTATTGTTGTTGTTCGTGGTGCTGCTGCTGCTGTTTTGTGCTGCTGCTGCTGCTGCTGCTGCTTCTGCTGCTGTTCGTGTTGCTGCTGCTGCTGCTGTCTGGTTATTTGTTATATGTAGTGTTATGTGTTCTTTCTTGTTCTGATTGCATGCAATCACCAGGGGTTAATCTGTCTCCTTTTACTGTCTCTTTTTTCTATCTCTGTCTACTGTTTGCTGCTGTTGCTGCTGTTGCTGCTGCTGTTGCTGCTGTTGCTGCTGCTGCTGCTGCTGCTGCCACAGAGCTGCAGCAATGGCATTTAGGACAGCAAGAGATTATGCATCTAGGGGGGGCCCCTCCTCTGCTGATGCCTTTGAGGAAATAAAGGTACAATTAACACAGATAACTGTTGCGCATGCACAGCTACTTATTCTTCGTGCTGCAGCAGCAAGACTGCAGCAGCTGCTGCACTCAGACGAAGACGAAGAAGACGAAGAAGAAAAAGAAGAAGAACAGCAGCAACAGCAGCAGCAGCAGCAACAGCAGCAACAGCAAGACAACCAGCAGCAACACCAGCAAGAGCAGCATCAAGAAAACCAGCAGCAGCAGCAGAAGCAGCAGCAGCAGCAGGAGAAGCAGCAGCAGCAGCAGGAGCAAGAGGATAAAGAACGTATATATAAAATAAGTTTATGTTTATTTCGTTGTCTTTGTTTATCATGGATGAATGAATATTTAGTTGATTTTTTTTCCCTAAATATTCTTCATGTTAATTCTTATGAATTAATTCATCAATTACTTGGGGCTGCATGCAAGGAAGCAAGAATTACTGCTGTACCTGTTGCTGATTCTTTTGGTCATACAGATAACTTCCTTAATTCTGCTATTGGAAGGTAAATACATAATATATACACTATTAGGGTTTGAGGGTTTAGGGTTTAGGGTTTAGGGTTTAGGGTTTAGGGTTTAGGGTTTAGGGTTTTAATGGACATTAAAACATATTGACATTAGGGTTTAGGGTTTTGAGGGTTTTTAGATTTTTTAGGGTTGTTAGGGTTTTAAGGGTTTTTATCATTTTTAAGGGTTTAGGGTTTAGGGTTTAGGGTTTAGGGTTTAGGGTTTATATATATATATACAGGTATGATGGTGATGTATATAATGCATTAATAGATTCAACAAAAGACGAAGAATTAAATAACGAAGATGTCTCTGAATCTTATCATCTTTATATACAATATATTCTTCATCCAGAGAGAAAAATACCAAAAAATAAATTATAATTCTTTTTTTTTTTTTTTATACCGAGCGGGGGCCCCCCATATATATAGGGGCCCCCCATATATATAGGGGCCCCCCATATATATAGGGGCCCCCCATATATAGGGCCCCCCCATATATAGGGGCCCCCCATATATAGGGGCCCCCCATATATAGGGGCCCCCCATATATAGGGGCCACCCCATAGGGGCCCTCCTCCCGTATGGGACTCTCCTACGGGCCCAATCGTTGGAGCCTCTCCTAGGGGCCCCTCCTATTATGGGACCCTTTGGTAATAAGGGCCTCCTCTAGGGGCCCCTCGTAGGGGCCCAAACAGGGGACTCCCAAGGATCTCAACAGGGCACCCAAGGGGCCCCCAAGGAGGTCAGGGGGGCAGCCAAGAGGCCCCCTTTATATGGTGCTCTCATACACTCAGATATGCCCAGTTGGGCAACTAAGGGGCCCCCCATGCTGCAACAACTGCTGCTGCAGCAGCTGCAGCAGATGCTGCTGTTTATTGGCAGCAAAGCTATGGGCTCATGCTGCTTGCAGCAGCACAGAATTTTTGCTGAATCTAATAAAGCAGCAGCAACAGCAGCAGCAACAGCAGCAGCAGAAGAAGCAAAACAAGAAGCAGCAGCAGCAACAGCAACAGCAGCAGCAGCAGCAACAGTTGCTGTTAACAATGCGCCTTGACTTTTTTATTTTGTGTAGCAACTGTTCCCTTTCTTTGTGGGGTGTGTGTGGGGTGTGTGTGGGGCCGGGATCGGCCGATCTCCAGACGATCCCAGCCGATCCCCAGACGATCCCAGACGATCCCAGGTGTCTCCTCCCCCCGCGTTTTGTTGTGTCTCCTTATCTATTATTTTATTGACTAAAAGAAGATTATTTAACTTCTTTTTGTCCCTTTGTTTGCATGCATGCACAGAGAGGAGACACTTCAGCAGCAGCAGCAGCAGCAAATTAAATTAAGTAATTTATTTTTATTCTCTCTTCCCTCTGCTATTGTGTCTCTATCTCCCTGTCTCTCTTGTCTATACCACTACTTATTACTACTAATAATAATTAGTAATAATTAATAAAAATAAGTGTCTCCTTTCTGTCTCCTTATAAATATAACAACTGTCTCCTCTGTCTCCTGTCTCCTTTTGCCTCCTTTTGTCTCCTTTTGTCTCCTTTTGTCTCCTTGTGTCTCTTTTTGTCTCCTTTTGTCTCCTTATAAAATATTTATATTGTTATTTACTTCTTTTGTCTCCAATGGCAAATGATGCTGTTGCTGCTGCCCCAACAATAAATCAAAAAGGCTGCTGCTGCTGCAGCAGCAGCAGCAGCAAGAGCAGCAGCAGCAGCTACCTGCAGCAACACTAGCAGCAGTAGCAGCAATAGCTGCTGCTACTGCTGCTGCAGCAGCAGCAGCAACAACAAAACGAGCAAGCTGCATGCACTGCGTTATATAAATATAATCAGACTTGGCCCTCCATAATCCTGCAAGCAAACAACCTAAACCCTAAACCCTAAACCCTAAACCCTAAGCTCATAGTACCCACCATAAAGGGAGACACAAAAGAGACAAGAAGGGACAACAGGAGACAAAAAGGGGACAAACGGAGACAAAGAGGAGACATAAAGGAGACAAAAGGAGACAAAAGGAGACAAAAAGGAGACAAAAAGGAGACAAAAATATCTTACCTATCTACAACAACATTAATAGGTAATACTTTGTCATTCCCCATCACTATCCTGCAAACAAACAACAAATGCATGCGTGCATGCATGCATGCATGCATGCATTATTGCATGCTTTATTGTTTGCATGCATGCATGCATGCATACATGCGACGGGTGCATGTTGGCCGTAAACCCTAAACCCTAAACCCTAAACCCTAAACCCTAATTTACTCAGTGAATTTTTTGGCCTCTTCTTTGGTCAAGGGTTCGTCTCCATACATTTGTACAATATTACAAAGTTGTTTAGCGGATAAATCTCCTGTTGCCTGCAGCAGCAGCAGCAACAGCAGCAGCAGCAGCAGCAGCAGCAGCAGATCATATCATAAACCCTAAACCCTAAACCCTAAACCCTAACCTGTGTATCAAATAGTGCAAAGAATTGTTGGAAGAATTAATCTACCCCTAGACCCTAGACCCTAAACCCTAAACCCTAAACCCTAAACCCTAAACCCTAAACCCTAAACCCTAAACCCTAGACCCTAACCTGTGTATCAAATAGTGCAAAGAATTGTTGGAAGGATTCAGCTAAATCTTCTGCATGCAAGGCGGCGGTAAGAAAAGATTGAAAGTTTTTATAGTCAACTTCTTCCCCTAATAAATTACAATCCTTTATACCTGGACTATAACCCTAATTAA